TTGAAAAAAAAAAATTAAAAAAAAAAAAAACGTTCGACCGTTAAAAAAAAAACGTATTTAGAGATTTGAAATTTTTTCTAAAAATTTGTTTGAGCACCTGCTGATTTTGCGATTTTTTCCATGAAACTTTTAACTAGAAAAAATTCAATTGAATATAAATGTACATTTTTTCCAAGTGTTTTACAATATAATAATGCAAAATAAAAGTTAACCACATCCATTATTTATTTAGGACCATCAAACTCCGTCACAAAAAAAAGTGACAGCAATTTTATAACATTTCAACTATTTACTACACGTTGGAACAACGGATGATTTTTTTTTCTCCAAAATTAATCACGTTCGGAGCATCATTACAGTATCACCGAATCGACCTACATTTACACCTATACCAAAAATGACGAAGTCAAAGAAAAAAAAAAAAAAGCAGAGATCGTGTAACCATAGCTCGCAGCATGAAATCGCGTACAATAGCAGCAGTCGCTTTATATACGACACGAAAACCACGTATTATCCTCCGACCACAAAATAAGCCAATAACGAAAATTCGAAAAATCTGAATTCCGATTGCAGCGCGGCGATATCTCGCAGCTTCAAAAGCCTGTGGTCGGGCAACAGCCGGACGGCCAGGCACTACCAGCAACAGCGCACGATCGACCCGGCATTGACGAGGCAAGCCCTCCTCAACAACTACAGGGCGGCCCAGGGCGATTACAGCATAGCCGGCAGTTCGCGTTCAGGTGAGTTATTGCAAGGAGACGCCTCCTCCTCCTCCTCCTATACATATATACTGTATCCTTCGTTCATTGCTCTATTGTCTCGATCGGGGAAAAAATTAAAAATCGGCGCCGAGGGAATTCGAGATCTGTATCTGTGCGCAATCTCACCCCGCACCGGCTGCCCTGGAGGGCTGTGATGCTTATCGCGCTTTGCTTCTCCATAAAGAGCTTTTTTTCCGCTCACTCGTTTCACCTCTGGCGGGATCGGATGAGTCGTATAGGGTGCTTTTTTTACTTACACGTACCGATTCTACGGGTTGTATTATATAGGGTGTGGTTCGTGAATATGTTTCCGCGTGTATATGTGTTTGGATTTTGATTTTTTTCGGTCCTCTATATAGGTAAGAGATATAGTTTTGGTGACCTGTTTTTTCGATAGGATGCCACTTTTTTGTAAAATAAAACCGGTAACGGATGCCGAACCGTGTACTTATACACGAGGTCGTTGACGATTTTCGAAATTACCGTTGTGTACATTATGAGAGACCGTGTGTGCTTGGGAAGAGAGAAAGGGGAAAACAAAAACTTTGATTGCCCCCCCCCCCTGACGCGAGAGGTAATGGATAGCGTTACTGCAGTCCGTTGCGTTGATTTCGTCGTTATAAAATTAAAACAAGATCGCGTTGAAGTTTGCAATAAATAAAAAAAAAAAACTGTGTCCATGTGTATAATTACAATTTGACCATTGGGGGGTACCGTTTATCAGTACAAAACAAATAACCAACGAAGCTGCACTACTTGTATTTACCTCTTTCTTTCCTTTCATAACGATACCGATCTTAGATGATTATTCTCAGAGGAATCAAAACCAACGGGGATGATTGTTATGTAATGTACGATGTTGTCTATTCCGAAGGTTGATTTAAGAAAAAGAAAAAAGAACTGGTACACCAAAGTGTAATAATAAATTTGAATTTAGTTCAAGCTCTAAAAACAGGTGTATAGGATAAAAATGGGAATTTGGAAACAAAAAAATATAAAATTTCTTTGGTTGTTGAAATAATCCAAGTAATGCCTTTGATAATTTATAAACACCTCTGTCTTTATAAATAATATTAAAAAGCGGCTCGTGTGACTTTTTGGCCAAACGAGAAGCTCGGTATATTCTTTGTCTTTCACCAACAAAGAGAAAAAAAAAAAAAATCAGAGCCCACGACAAGGCATCCAAATCCCGATTTCCCATAAGCCTAGCACGAACTTTAACTCTATACCGATCTTCCTAAAACCCTCGTTAGATCGACCTCGCGAATAACAACAATACGGGATTTTTTAACGGCACAAGCGTATGCAAACGCCTTTACCAGCTTATTTCGCTAATTAGGCACGTACATGTAGGGTATATTATATCCTTGTACACGCGCACGTACAAACGCGAAAAAAGAAAACAAAGAGAGAGAGAGAGCAAATGACTTTCCAAGCTTTTGTTTATACGCAACGCGACTGGCTAGAACATCGTTCGCATAAATTATAGTGTAATATAATAATATATAATGTGTGTTACTCGCGTATGAGTATATTTATATAAACACTCTATACGTGCGTATAACATATATACTTACGAGGAATTCAGGTTCACGGTGTAGCTTTAAGGTCAATGAAATCGCCGCGTATTCGTGTGCTACGTACACCTATATATATATGTGTGTGTAAGTATGTTAAGAGAGAGAGAGAGAGAGTGCATGTACAAAGTGTGCCGTTTGTATACGTATAAATGTATGTAAGTAAGGAAGTAGGGAAAAGCCTTCGGGGGCGTTGGAATTTTTCTGAATATTGAAAATTGAAAGGACGAGGGAGAAATAAGGAAAATACCTACCATCTATATATATATATATAATATACTGCAGGTGTTGTAATGTGGGCCGACGCGCGAATTCCCGAGGCGTATAAAGTGTTTACCACCTACAAGTATGCGTGCGAAATTCCCGATTGAAGATGTATATTATGATTGCCTGGTTGTTATATAAGTATAGAAGTATATATATATACACATTGTGCGCGCAGGTATATGTATATATATACATATGTACACGCGGATTTGTCCTTATGACACGAAAACCCGATTCGCAAGCCGATGTTAATTTGTATACATTTAAATGTAAAGGGATCGGCAACAGTTGGCGGGCTGCTGTATACAAATGTAAAGCGCGTAAACGAAGTAGCCCTTGTTATTACATTTGTATATGAAAATAAGTGTATACCGGTATATTCCTCACGAGCTTTTGAGCAAACGGTAAATTGTTTTTTTTTTTTTTTTTTTGCAAGCGCAGTCTCTCTTTAAGGGTCGTTTTTACGGGGCTCTTTGGTTTTCGAGGCGCTGCGAATCGCCAATTATATAGCCTACATCTTTTTAAGGAGATATCATTACCACCACCCACAAAAATGTACCGAACCGTGACGACCGATTCCACCATACACCGAAACACACTAAAATCCACACGCGCGACTGTCTCTCTCTTATTTCTCGAGTGCGTATCTCCACATAATATATACATAGGTAGCGTATTATAACGGGACGCGCACGACGGACGAAAGAGCAAACGAGAGAGTATATGGAGTCGCGACGTAGAGGGGAAGAGAGTGTAATCGGTGACGCGTTGCTCTTTCGCGTCCTCCTTCTTTCTTCTCCGCTCTTCCAATGTATATATACACTTACGTATATTTTGACTAACTACCGATATACATACCCCACATAGTCATGCCGATCTTTCTCTCTGTGCTATATTGCGCCTATACCTGTATTTTGTACGCTCGTTAATACCGGCGCATCGTTTCTCCTCCTCGTTTATTACCATCCCCGTGGATGGGTACTATTTTACATCCTCCTTTCTGTCACGAGCTCACCTGATGCACTTGCACACAACTCGTCCTCGTTACCTTTACAGAGGTAATTGTTTACCCGTCTCGTGCCTCTCACTTGGGATAAGTACTAACTCTATATATATGTATACAAAGTATATAAAGTAGATGGAAAAAAAAAAAAAATGACTCGCCGAAGAGAGTGCAGTGGGTCAGTAACTCAGATGGTGCGAGGGGGGATGTATACTTAATGACGTTTCTCACGCTGTTCCTGTGTATACTTATATCATCCACTTCGATGGATTAACGAGACACGTGCGCGCAGTTGCCGAGCGAAATATAATAGTATGTAACCCAAGGCGCGTTGTTTTTTTTTTTTTTTGCACGTGTGCTAGTTTCTTTTGATGATAGTATAGTGAGGAATCAACGTCCATTGGGGTTGTTAATACTTTTGGCGCGAAGGAAAAAAAGATCGGTAAGACATTGGATCGCCGAAAGGGGAAATAATTCGATACGTAAAGCGCGACCAACAAAACGTTTGACTCGCCTTTGTGTATCATTATTTCGGAAGGAAGACCATCGTGTATAAGATGTATATACCGATCAACCGATTTTTCGATCTCAATGGAACTCCCAGCTAATGAATCGTTCCTTACAACAGTAACCAATTATAATATCTATGTAACTGCATTTGCCGAAAGAAAAATGTATGTTTAATACTGTTCTCTTTCCGTTTTTTTTTTTTTTTCTTCCCTCCCACGCAGCTCGTTCGTTCTCGCCGAAGGACGCCTGCGGCTCGCCCGCCCGACTCTGCAAGACGAGGTACAACACAACCGCGCCCATGTACGGTGTCAGCCTGACGAGCGGCCAGCCCGTTACGATCGTCCAAAAGTTCCCGGATCTCCTCCAACAGGTCGTCTTTGAAGTTTGCGAGTGAGTATATTACGCATACGTACACACATGTGTACCGATCACACGCCTCGAATAAATGAAGATCGGTAACCACTAAAGTCCATTGCAACAGTTCAAAATGGCTTTGAATAATTGTCAGACAACAATTTAATAACCGATCAATGCTTATACGTAAATAATGTTTTCTCCGAATTGCAGATCAAAAGAATGCGACCTCGTGCACGGCGAGTGCACGCAGACGTACGTGCCGTACCTGTTCCTGGTGATACCCCTGGGCCCGGTCACACTAACCGGCCAGGACTACGTCCTCGTGGAGAGCGGCTGCGTTTGCAAGCCCAAGAACAGCTACTCGGCTGACAGCTCGGACGTCGTGTCCGTGCCCTCCTACTGAATAACACATTGATTTGGTTTTTTTTTTTTTTTTTTTTTTTTTTTCTTTCACGTTGTTGTTTTCGTTAAACACGCGCCGTGTTGGACTTTAGGCATATACATATATATATGTACAACGGGATCGGCAACGAGAGAGAGAGATAGAGAGAGCGATTTATGCCGATCTCGCAGGATTTTATCGCACGGAGATCGATTCGCTGTGCGATGTGTGTGCGTACATGTGTAGTGACCGAGGACTCGAGAGTTTGCGTGCAATTTCGTTAGAATCATTGTAGATTGTACCGTAAATGAGAGTGCGATGCATGCCCCCCCCCCCTCCCCCATGTCTCTATTATACTTATACATATAGTATATCTGTCGAGTCGCCGATCGCGCATCTTTAGGTAAAAGCGTTTGGGCAATAAGTATGTTGTGAATGCCCGAGTTTACGTAAACTAATGTGTTTTAACAAATATGTATTAGCTTATTTATTTATTCGTCACGGTTATTCACGGCGACTCAAGTGACCCACGTTAAGTTGAATTGGTGAACAAAAAGAAAAATAACACGAGGAAAGAATTTACCGGGCGACCGCGTAGCCTCGAAAAAAAAAAAAAAAAAAAAAAAAAAAAAGTAGTAAAAGGCAGGTATACGGTAAGTCTCAGCCGATCGCTTCTGTAATACGACGAGGCGGACGAAGGAGAGAGAGAGAGATGAGTGTCCGGAGATCGGTCGTAATACACTTACAGCGATGACCGGTACCGTGTATATACGTGTATATACGACACGGGCCGCGAGTACAGCCGGTTTTTGCGGTTTTTTCTCTCAGATTTTTTTTTTCGTTCACGTATATACATATATACGTGCCATGTCGATCTAATATGACACTTTTGTTCCGGGGAATGGTCGATTGGTCCGCGTTGCCGATTTTTTTTTTTCCATCATTTTCCAATTTTACTTTTTTTAGTTACTAGAGTACTATCGGGATACAAATTTGTGGGAGGAGCGATGAGGGTTTATTAACAAGCAACAACCGCGTATCAGACGCGCTTGACTTTACTTCCGCCAACGTGACACGAAACGCGAACTAAACAAAAAAAATTGTCTGCACCTCGTAGTTTGGTGAAACCGATGTTGGGTTCTCGATCGAACGAGGATCGAGCGATAGGTTTTGTTTGAGCTTTTTAAAATTAGCGATCGATTTGACGCTCGAAACGAGTATGTTTTCGCACTGGCAACGCGTTCGATTCCAACCGCCTTCCCTTGTTTTTCGACTCTATGCACGAACGTTTTTTCACCATCTGATATATTATATATAAATGTGCAAACGAAAAATCGCGCTTGACCCAAAAATTTTGTAAGTGAGAAAAGCTCGGTGTCTGCGTGTTTCCGTCGCGAGTGTCATTATTTACCCGAGGAGAAAGAAAAAGAAATCCACCGCCTAATGATTCGTAACGGTTTAACGGATCCGACGACGTCGGTGTCGGCCGAGTTAACATAGTCGAGGAATGCCGAGGTGTTCCTCCAGTCCTGATATCTTATACCTGTCCAGCTGTACGAGTTTGATTTTTTTTTGTTGTGTGCGCGTGTTGCGTGTGTCTTTTATCTGTACTCAATTTTATTGCTTAACTATATACTTGTACATTGTGTCGTGGATGGGAGCCGATCGGTATATGCATAAGGTACAGGTGAAATGACAAAAATGCGCGTGTGGTTGCGGACGAAATTATTTGTTGATACCTAACATTATATTACTCACTGTTAAAGACTAAGAGAGAGAGAGAGTTCACGTCGAACTCGTCGCGTGTGTACATTTTACATCAAGACTTTGCGTGTATGTTCGATAGATTTTAATTCTGCAATAACTCGACATCGAGAAAATTATTTATTTATTTGCATAAAATAACGATATAGGTACATATATTTAAGGAAAAGAGTAACCCCGTAACTTTCATCCGATACTGTGTATAATCATCGGCTGAATACAGTGGGCAGTATAAATATACTGTGTTCTGCGTCTATAACAATTTTTTTTTTTTTTTATCTACTGTATAATAAGTTGTTTATTGTTTATTACATCGCCGCGTGTAAGGTTTAGTTAGAAAATTTAATTTTAATCGTAAAAAAATATATACATATAAAATGATAAATATTGATTCGATATGCATTTATAAAAGTGTAAAGATTATATAATATATATGATGTTCGTAAGATCAGTCCTTGTCGCGATAATTTTGTATGAATAAACTAGTGATTTTATTAACCGCATCTTATTAATATTTCTTTGTTTCCTTATTGAATAAAAAGAGAACAAAAAAGTCCGATAATCCAATACCAATCATTACCGATTTCCTGATCACACCGATCACTACTCGTCAGACACAAAAAAAAAACACCCGAAATCGGCCTCCAACACCCAACATCATAAATCATTACCGATCACGGTTCGTTAGAAACAAACAAAAAAAAAAAAAAAAAAAATCGGTAAAATCGCCATCCCATACTCATACCAATAAAATTCCACGTCACGAGGCGGAAGAGCCATCACCACGAAATGTGGAACTCGGCAACACTTGTCCGTTGAATGCGCGTGTACACGTATGTATTACATACACAGAAGAGGGCCACTGACCCAATGGACCCGTCCTCCTCCTTGTCGACGCTTGGGACTGTCGTCGATCCTACACGTGGGGGAGAGGGGGGTAGCGGCAAATTCCAACGAGAGAGTCGCCGGCGAGTGTATATATAATACACATTTAAGTCCCCGCTCGCGTGTGAATGTGCGGGGTGTACCGTTATCAGCCCCTCCCCCCTCCCCCCCCC